GACTTGCAGAGGATTTGGCTTTATAGAACAGGGTCCCAATTCACAAAGCTCCTTCCTCCTCCTCTTGCTGCTGCTCTTATTGACCAAATCCAGGATTTTCGCTGAGTCCCTCCTCTTTGGCTCCTGGACCTGACCACATGCCCAGTCTGAGCTCTCAGACAATGTTGTACATGCCCTGGTCTTCAGGAGAGAGACTTGGGAGGAGTTGGGAAACCAGAGAAGTAGTAATGCCTGTGGCAAGTCAGACTGCTGTATTTGTCTTGTTGTCGGTGCCCCAGGATTTGGCAAAGGGATCCTTCAAAAGGGATCCCTCAGTTCAAAAGAAATAGAAAAGCTGTCCCAGGACTGCCAGGATTAGGGAATTTTGCCTGTCTGTACTCCACATTCAGCACTGCTGAACATCCCCATCACTGTTGTTAGCACTAACCCCTGCACTCACAGACCTGGCAGGTCTCGTGTACTGAGTGTGAGCCTTCCTTCCCTGGCACCCTCCCTTTGGCACAGTAGTGACACAGTACCTGCACATTTCTCCTGCCTCGGGAAGTTTTGACCTGTCTGACCTGCTGGCCACTTATTTGTGACTTCTTGGAGCTGGAGGGAAGCACCAGTTATTTGCCACAATGGTGGGAACCCCCCCCCAGCCAGAGCCTACCTCTGTGCTGCAACATCTTGTGTCTCTCCATCGTGGGATCCAGCACACACAGTGTCATCTAGTTCCCTGCTCTGTTCTGCTGCAAGCAAGTCCCATGTCATCCCAGAAACTGTCTGTGAGATCATCTATGAAATATTTATTCCCATTGCATGCAAGAGAAAAGGAAGCAAAAAGCCTGCATAATATTGATGGAATCCCTGATAGCCAAATATTGAATTATTTACAGCCTAATTGTGCAAGTGATACTCAGGAGATCGCTTAGGCTGCAAGATGCAATTAATACATTTTGCGAAATTGGTGACTTCTACTTCAGACTTTCTGATACATCAGTGAGCCTCTAAAACACAAGTGACATCACTTTGCAGGAGAACAACTAGGATATCCACAGACACTGGAAATACCCACAGACTTTTCTCTGAGCACTGCTGTGAAATAGGAAAGGGCTCTCAGAGCACCTGTGGGCTGCCTGAAGGCGCATGCTCAGGTGAATCTGGCCTGGCTCATGGCTGTTGCTTCAGAAGGGCACTGATCTCCTATAATTCTTGTGTTACAGCTGAAACTCCCAGGCAAATGCCCTGGATACTCTCAGATGGCATTAAATACATATATGCAAGACACAGAATTTAGCCTGTGTGACTGCTGTCCCCAGCAGACCTTCCAGTGCAGGGAGCAGTGACTAAGAATGGCAACACTCTCTGTGCTGCAGCATCCTTCCTCTTCTTTTTACTGTCATGTTGGCTGTGTAGATCTAATGCAGTCCTTAATGCATGCACTAAAAGTCCTCCTTTCTGCCCAGCCTACAGCAGATAGAGTAGATTGGCCACTGAACCCCAGCTCACAGGTGGATTTCCAGACACAGAGCTCTTCTGTCCATTCCAAGGTACACAGGTTGTCACAGGCTATTGCTTGGCTATTTCTCTAACACCAAACTGCTCTCAAGCCCTCCCTCTCCCTCCTTAGTAAATATGTATCTGAACCCTGACATCTGGAGTAAACCACAAGTTGTGTCTCTCAAAACTCTCTTATCTTCTCTATTCCTCTTTATATTCTACTCTTAGCAGAGCTTTGGGGGGATAGCCTCCTTACCAAGCACTTCAGTAGCATTTAGGACCATCCCTTGACATCACTGGAGCTGAACAAGGCTCTGGGCAGTCTGTTTTGGCCTAAGGATGGTAACAAGCCAAAAGAAAAAGTCTGAACTAGCATTACAAAGCTGTCCTCTCTGCGCCTAATAATGCTTATTTCCTCTTGAGACAAGACACACCATGTATGTCTAAACCCCTCAGCCTGTCCTAATTTGCAAACTCTAGTACAGCTGTAGGTTAAAAGAGCCAGCCAAAATTAATCATGACAGATTAAGGAACCAAGCAACATACGGCAATGGCCTCTTGTTAAACTGAAACATCTGATCCAAACCAAGCAATTTCAGCCCCTCGTTAAAGTCTTGTTTCTCTAGTCCACCATCTACAATGTTTTGCTGCTGAGCACCATCATCTGAACATGGTTTACTCAGATGTACCCAGGCTATCACTGAGCAGCTTTACCAGTGACAGCACTGGTCTGGGCTGAGACAGCCAAAAAGCAGGTTTGTAGGTGGCCACCACCTGCAGGCCTGCTCAGGTGTGGGGGGGCGTTGTTTGGTTTTGCTGTTATCAGGCTTTTGTGCCTTTTAGAGTTGTCTGGGAGAGGAATAATTAAACTCTGCTCATGCCAGAGGAAAATTTATGTATTTTAACCAGGTACTTTTCCTTCTCTTCCTTTCCACCCCCCTTTTCCTTTAAACACGAGACAAAGGTAGCCAGACAAGCAGATGGACTTTGCTTGTATTATAAATGCCATGCACCTCAAAAGCTGGTAAAAAACCAAGCCAGTGGCTCCTTTATAGGCAGAAGGACCTGAGGGAGGAAACAGCAATGTGATGTGATCCCAGACTGGGGAGGTGATGACACCTTTGCAAAGCCAAAACTTACGTAGCTTAATATTTTTTTATTGTTGTTCTACAAACATTATTCAATGTCTAAATGGAAAAAGGAGGTTATTTGGTTATTAAATGACAATAAAACTGCAAAGTTTTACCCCTCTTCTCTTTTAATTTTGTTTGGAAGTGTATCCTGAAAACAAGGCAAGGCTATGGCCAACTCCACCTTGTCAATTCCTGTTTAACTGAAGAGGAACCACATTGCTCTGAGACAAGGGAATGCAGACTTACCCAGGGGCTGAAGATGACATTAGGTCACTTGGACCATCAGGTCCTTGGAAACGTGCCCCATGTGCACCTTTACAGGATCCTTCTCCAGACTGACTACAGCAAAAATGTTGCCATCCACTGGATGCTCCATAGAAAAATATAAGTCACACACCAGCACAGTTGGTGCTCTCTGCAGTGTAAATGCCACCAATCAGTGTCTCACCACCCAGGTCTCGAGGTGCTGTGCACGGCAGAGAAGGTGCTCTTGGATTCCTAAAAGCCCTGAACATGAAAGGGTGAGTTAGGTGGCAGTAGGCTTTGTATACCTTGCTATTTTCAGCTCCCTAGGATTGTTAGAGATGCAATCCCTGTTGGAAAACACTCCCTGCTATAAACAAGCTGATGAACATAGAAGAAAATGGGCATGCTTTCCCTGTTTGCCACTATTCCATATTCAGCTGTTAATCTGCTCCTTTCTCCTCCTCCTCTCCTCTGTTATTCTGCAATAGCTGTTAGTTGCTAAAGAAAATGAAGAAACAATTAAGAAGCTTCAGAAAAAGATAATTTCTCACATGCAGGGCTGAGTACGCAGCAGATGTGACTCAAGAGACACACATGCTGTTTTCAGGCAAGTATTCCCAAGGGTTTAGATAAAAATAATAAGGATAAGGGGTTTCAGCAGAAATCAAGTTATTTTTAAGTGGAAGGGCTCTAAGGCGTTATTAAAAGGGCTCCCTGAAAATGCCACCGTCTTCCTGTGTGTGGGATTCCATAGCATTAGTTGTGTGTAATTAAAACTATTAAGCCAGCAGTCAGGCTAGACAGGGATTCTGACAGGAAAGTTGTTTGAGGGGTTACAGCAAAATGCTTTGGTTGCAAAGATCAGACTCCTCCTGATTTACTAGAGGTTTTCACGGCAGAACAAATGAGATGCCTACAGAGAGATCTTTCTCCAGAAGATAGTGGCAAGTCTCAAGGACCAGCATTTAAACCAGGTGGTTTTGGTCGCCACAGTTCAGCCAACACTGGGAGAAACGCTGCGATGGTTGGGAGCCACATCTCGACTGACACAGCATGCTGCAGCTTTACTGAAGTGTATGGTCTACATCCAACCTAGGAGTCCATGAGAGACACATCTTTCCAATATCCCTCTCCTTAATCCACCTGCAGCGTCTGTCATCACACAAACTGGGACAGAGGCAGTGGAGCCAGCATTACAGTAAGCAGCTTGCTGAGCCAGCCACAGGCATTTGCCATCTTCTGGGTCTGATCAAGACTGGACAAATTAGGAAAAGTGTCCATTAGCCTCATTCACCTGAAAAATGCCAACTCACATTTTAAAAACTGGCAAAGGGTCAAGAAATGAAATCTGGTGGCAAATAGACAAGTCTGTGATGATCCACCATCTTGAATGGATCTTCAGTATCCAGTACCAGGATTTTCTGTGCTCAGACACATAAATCTCAGGCATTCATACTCTGCCAATATTTTAAGTCATGCCCACAAAGTGTATTTGAATAGGATTCAAGCTGATGAAAAGCAAGTTGCTACTTTTAAAGAGGCCTGGTGACCATGTGAATGCAGCTGATGGCTTCAATCCAGCATATGACATTCCATTAAATTAAAGACAAATTTGCCACCGCTATTCTTAGTGCCAGGAAAGGTGTGAAAGAACACGTGGCCCCTCCAGGATGTGCACAGCCATATTTCTGGTGGCACAGATGGCAGTTTGAATGGCTGCAGGTTTTTTGCCTTGCCTTTTCATAAGGCATACTTAGCCTTTGCTGTTTTCAGGGAGACATTTTAGATATAGTAAGCTTATGAAGAGACACATCCCGCTTGAATCATTTTCAAAACACCTCTTCCTTTCAAGTCACCAGCTCTCAGAGAAGGAGGGAAAAGAAGAAACGTTGAGCCAAAGCCCATAAGCAGATTTTTTTCCTGTGTGTGTGAGATGAGCCTGGGAAAAGCAAAACAATTCATCGACCCAAGAGTGGCTTTGCAGGGAAAGGTTAAGGAATAATAAACAGGGATTTAGATCACACTAGTTTACATGCATTTATGAGGGAGAAATTCAACACCCAGATAACAAATTCAGTTCAGGTTTTACTTCCTCTCTCCCTTCCTCTCTCCCCCCCCCGCCTTAAAGATGACATACCCTTCCATTTGTAAATTACTTTAATTTAAATACTTCCAGGTTAACAAAACACCTTAAGTTTGACATGTCCCAAGTTACAAAACAGAAACAAAACCTCTTGACAAAGGGTAAGAAAAAAAATATAATCCGAGCCCAAACCTCCTTTCCTAAGCTGGAGTTTATGGTCTGTGAGCTGGCAGCCCTCCAGAGTCTGACACAATGTCTGGAGCACCCAGAGCAGCTGGAATTAATTTTCTTCCTCCAAATCTATGCACTTTCATATGAAGTCGTGTTTTGGCACTGGCGCCCAAGAGAGAGTTCAGTGCAAAAAATCTAACCCCGGCCATTGTTTCTTTGCAACCCAACACTCACTGAGCAAAAAACAAGAAAGAAGAAGAGGACAAAAAAAAATTAGAGAAAGAAAAGCCCTTTCCCTTCCCCCACACATACACAGATGACTGTACCAAACAGGGGGGCTATTCATGGCTGTTCAGAAATGGGTCACAAGGAGAAATGTTTTGCAGATAAAACCAACACTTTTTTTTTCTTTTTTTTTTTTCTTCTTCCCTATTTTTTTTTTTTTAATAAACATCATGGAGGCCCCTGGAAGGCGCTGGGGATGTTTGACAGTCAAGGTCCTGCTGATCCCTTCCGCCTCCCATTCATGCAGCTCCCACGCTGGCCCTGAGGTGCAGCCCCCTCGGGGGGATGTCCGGACCCTCCGAGCCGCCTCCTCAAGTCTGAGCCGCCGTAGGGACCCTGAGGGGGTGATGGGGCCGCGCTGGCACCACACTGCTGCTCCTCGCCTGGGCTGGCGGTGGGTCAAGGGGGGAGGAGGGAGGTGTCCAAGGCACTCCCAGGGTGTCCCGTCACAAAATCACACACTGGAGTTTGTGGGAGCCCGTGGCTCTGTCCCCTCGCCATTTGGTCTTTTTCTTCTTCTTCTGGCTTTTCTCTGGGATCTGTTGCCTGTTTTGGGAGACAGAGAGGAAAATAAGCAGGTGAGACATAAGGGTAGCCAGCATCTTGGTGTGCACAAGGATATTTGCGTATGTATCTCCATATACCCTTCCACCACTGCATGGCTTTTCTTGCCACACAGCTGACAACCGCCTGCATCCTTAAGGAAGGAGGAAAGAGCCGTAAGCAAAAATTAAGGCTAATGCCAGGGATGTATGTCCTGCCAGGGCAATATGCCTCCAGTTGCCCTGGGCAAACTGCTGCCTCCTCCTCTGCTGTGAGAAACAGGGATGCTCTAAGCAATGCAACGTCACCCATCACACTGCTGCTAATGCTCAGTAGTTAGCAAGAGAGATATGAGAGAGATACAGAGAAAGAACATTTTTTGGAAAGATGTTCTTTCAGCTGGCATTGCCCTTGGCCAGATGTACTGCTGAGGACTTGGTTATGGAAAGGGGCTAAAAATAATATAGGAAAAAAAAAAAGAGTTTGCTGCCAATGGGGCTCTGGTCTCCCCTGAAAGTTGTGAAGAGCACCTCAGCACAGAGAATGAGCTGACCCTAGAAAGATGTCCTGGCTGTCTGAACTCATGGTCACCACAAACATGCAGCTGAGAGCCCTCCTGCACTACGGCACAGCATTGCCTAAATGCCTGTTTGCAACTGTATCTGATTGCAGCAGCCACTCAGCCAGCCCAGTGGTGCAAATTCAACAGAATTGTTTGCTGCTCAAACACCTGATAGGCAGCCTGTAGACTTAGATTTTGTTGCAAGATAAAACATACAAACACTAGCAGCTTCTGTAGATTCAAACCTGAGAGTCTGAATAGTTCAAAACTAGCCTGATTGTGATGTAATATGGCAGGCATTAAACCTAGTGTTCATATCAAGTTATCCAGACCAGGATGACACATAGCTGGGGCACAAATCACTATGGCTTTAGCTGCTGTTTTTCTTACAGCCTCAGCTTCCAGATTCTTGCAACCATCTGAAAAAGTCAGCTTTGGCTAATATGATTTTTTTTTCAGTGAATATGAAGGCTGGAGGCATGAAAAACCTAAAACCTTAAAGCTCAAAACTAGAAAGATGAAATTAAAGAAATTCTTTAAAGTGAATGTGGATTAACACTAAGCGACCACAAGCTGTTCACACTGTTCTGGATCTGTTTCAGAGATCCAGAAAACCACATACTGTGCCCACTCAAGGTTTCTGCTGTGACAGACCCTGTGCATGCACTGCATAAAAGGGGCATCGGGAAATTGAAAAGATCTGTTGGGTGGACTCAATCACCCCATTCCTTTCTGGATTACTTCCAGACAACAGTTTCTTGCATGAAGCTAAATAAACCAAGCCAAGTACAAAGAGCACAAACAGTGCCAGCCTTGAATGAGCATCCTCACCCTGAGAACTCAGAGGGACTCTGAGGAGGCCTTTCATTTGCAAAGCACTCCAGGAATGACACAGTTATCAGGGTACTGACATTTACATTTTATTTGGAAAAGCTGACTTAAAAACCAGAAAAGCAATACTTGATGGGTGATGCTATCCTATGACTGCAGTCTGTAATGTCCAAAGACCAAGTGAAGCTGCTTAGTGGCCAGTGACCAGCCAGATCACACAACACCTCCCTGCTTCCTGATTTAACCCGAGTTTCAGCTCTTGTGAACATCTCTGGTGCCCTTGATGTCACGGGGGGTTTTACCTGGTTGGCAATGACTTTCACAGTGGCTACTCAGGAAACTGAGGTATACCACCTATTTTTGAGGTTATGGAGTACATTTTCAGGGTTTGAATTTAGTGATGCCTCATTACAATTCTCCTTTCAGCCTGCTTGAAGTTGTGTTAGGGAGAGAAAGCAAACAGAGCCTTCCCATCTTATTTTGGCTATGTTTTTCTTTCCCGCAGAGCAGAATAGATGGTGGTAAGAGTGTGCTGCAACACAAAAGTAAGATCTAGCCAGCTAATGCTGAGCTACAGAACAGTTGGGAAAGAGCTTGGGACATTTCCAACTCAGTTCTCCAAAGACTTTCTGCCCCCTGCTTTTGAGACATGTGGGAAGAGTGGGCAGTACCATCTGCTTTTGATGGAGGCTGACTTGAGGCTGTGCTAGGATATTCACAAGTACAGATATGCTGTGAATAAATGCCTTGTGGTTTAACTGCCGAGCGAGGCACTTTGACTGCACGGCGGGGAGGAGCATGATTTCAGCTCAGCACCCTCCCAAAACATGAAAAATGAAGGTCCAGAAAATCTGCCAGACAACTGGTGCCAGAAAAACAAATCTTCTCAAAGAGAATTGAGGTTATCAGTCAAGAGAGATGCTGAGATGTGCATGCAGCTCTTTTCCTGCAGGGGAGCCGGGATTTTGGAAGGCAGCCCCTCCCTGCTGGCAGCCAGAGCCGGGGTTCGCCCGGAGAGCAGGCGTTTGCCAAACCGAGCAAAGGCAGCTCATGACAAAACTGGGAACAAACCTCTGCAGTCTGAGGAGGAAACCTGTGGCTTAGCCATTAGGTCATGTTGTTTCTTATACAAAGCGGCTTAATTTTTTCCATTTAGTGAGCAGAAAATGTTAGAAGTCACATTAGAATTTTGTAGATTTTTTTGCAAGTCCTTTTTAACCTCTGGCAATATGAGACACTCAGAGTACAAAAGTATGAAAACTCAAATTACTGGTCCAGAGCTTTCAACACTGACCCTTTAAAGCTCATCATTAGAGTAGGCTTTGCACTGTTCATTGAATAATATATTTTCATTATGGCCACAGCTAGTTCCTCATGTGCCTGGCACTAATGTCCTGCAAAGGTAACTAAGTACTTGTAACACACCTATGCAGATACAGGACAAGAAAGTTAATAAAGCCTAGAAATCTCCCACAGCAAGCAAACCTAGCTGCTGCTCCCCAATAGCTCTCTGAGCCAGGACTCCTGCACATCCCATCCATGAGCAGTAACCAAGTGAAGAGTTTGCAGCTTACCTTATTACTCTCACGAGATCATGGAAGGCCTTGTCAACGTTCAGAGGTGGGTCCTTGGCACTAGTTTCTATATAGGGAATCTGGAGGAGACGAGAGTGTCATGAAAGAGATTAGTAACAGCCTACATGTTGGTAGCAAACCAGTTTCAAAATGAAAGGCCTAAAGGCTGAAGAAATTGGGTCCCTAAGAGACCAGGGAAATACAGGTAAACAGAATGTTGCCATGACACCACTTTCAACACCTTCATGCTTGCAGCAAGGTCAGGGAGCGCTTACAAAAGGTCTGGAATAAGCACCAGGCAAACCAGCTGCTATCGGAGCTCTGGGTTTGGGGAACAATAATCGGAGACTTCATGTCGTCAGATGTTCTCTCCCCCTTAGCTGTGCTTGCAGACATGAAAATAGCCGAAGGTTGTTGAAAGACCAGCACTTGCCAAAAATTCTTGCTTGCCACATTTTATTAGGACTACTGCATGAATATTTCATGACTACAATTCCCCTCCAGTGTAAAATGATCTTCCCCTTCAAAGTCTGACAGCCAGATGGGGCCTCCTAGAGTGCTTGTCCAGCACACTGGCAGATTTATAAAACTGCCTCTGATAAGGTATTTTCATGCCTGGTCTTTTCCAAAGTGTGCATGTACAGATGGATGCAACATGCTGTGCTTCACTTTAGGTGTCCTGGCTGCTACAGAAGCCAGCTTCCTTGGGGAGGGGAAGGAGTGAACCTGCCCTGCCAAACTGCCATCGTGGCTTGTTCAGAAACAACACACAGCTTGCCGTTTAGGCACAGCAAGCTGCCAAGAGGTCTCAGGCTTGTTTGCCTTTAACCTTTCCATTCTGTTCCTCCTAAGGGAGTTGTTGTCTCCCTCTGGGTATTCAGGGCTGCTGGCATTTAGAGGTGATTAGTGGAGCAGCATGTGATCTACATCCATCTAAGACCAATTTCTCAGGCTAAACTAACAGCATGAATAATGCAGACCTAAGATAGCAGGCCAGATTTATACAGGCTTAACAACTCTGTAACTTCATTATCTTTAACAAGCTCACTTCCTACAGACACCTGGGTATACCTCGTAATGCCCGACTCTGCCTTTTCACTCCAGGAGAGTGCACTTTCTTCCCTCATTCTGAACATTTCATGTTCTTCACTACTTGCAGACACCTTGTATATGTGGCTTTAGATGGCCACAGCTTTGCTATAGCCTAGTGCACAGCAGAGTTTCTTGTTTCAGTGATGAACTGGCCCTACTGAAAGGAAACTGCATAGCTGCTACTTTGTAGTAGTCAAAAATGCAATTGCAAATGTTTAATTGTAAGCTTTAATTCAGCTCCAAATGAGCACAGATTTCAATTCTGTACGTCTGTAATAGGACTTACAATAACCCATTAAATAATCCCACAAACTTACGTTATGTTTTGTTGCCATTTCTCTTCCCTGTTCTCTTGTAATTTTCCGTAAATGCATTAGATCAACTTTGTTTGCCACCAAAATCATTGGAAAGGACTCTCTGGAAAAAAAAAAATCAAACCCATCACCCAATTATTAGCAGGCTACAATAAAAAATGCTGAGCATAAGTTTCACTTTCTGATGCTGACATCATCTAATATTTTCAGCTACAGACATATCACATATGTGTAAAGAAACAATGAAAAACCCTCAGACTGTGCTATACATATGTTCATATTGTAAAAATTTACTTAACAAGTTGCATGCATGAACACATTCATTGTTATTTCTAGGGACTTCAGGAACTTACTGTCGCCATTTTTGCAATGCCTGATAATAGCTAAGCCTGAAGATCCAACTAGGTGAAAAAAGATCGACAGAATTAGCCAGGAAATTAACTGAGACATAGAGACAGATCTTGGACAGGAGACCGGGACTCTTTTGTAACATTTAAGGCATCTCAGTAACTGCATATCTTGGCAGCTGCTCATCATTGCAAGATATTGAGAGGTGATGGAAGAACTGGAGTTCTGGTCATCCACTGTGGGGGAAGAAAAGTTGGAATCTGGAAGGTGGTGCTTGCTCCCTCATCAAATGGGGGAGAAAATGACTGGGAGCAAAAAGATGCCCATCAGCTGTTACTCAATGCAAACTGAAAGACTGGCAGTGGTAGCTCGAAGGAGGCTGGAGGGAACCAAAGAGAATTGCTAAGTTTCCAAAGCTATTACCTACCATCTCCTGTTTCTAATTCCAGAAAAAAATACCAAAACCTCTCTAATAATACTCAGTATTTCTCTAACTTTACCAGACATGTAAATGACTGTCTGCAGCCACCACCTGAGAAGAGATCCATCTATCCATAGCATGTCCTGTGCAAGGCTCTCCCCTGCAGAAATCTCCATAGCTCCAGTGATAAACAGAACAAAGGCAGCTCGTGCCATGGGAGGTGCTGGCAGTGGCTCTCTCTCCTTCAGCTTCATGACACAGAGCAAGGAACTGCTGCAGGGCCTTTTAGCCACTGCTGGGAGGAAGGAGGTCCCTTCTGATCACCGACAGTTACCGCAGTATTATTTTATATTTAACTTTAAACCCTCTGAAATGATCCTGGTGTTCTCTGCTGTAACAGAGCTGATTTTATTGGGGTGAGGAGCAGCTGGCCACACTCATTTCTGCATGAAACACTTCCCTGAGTAACTCTGGATTTTCAAATAGCATTTCTGGGTCATTTTTCATCGAGATGATAAGGGCTCCATCTTCCCTCTGGCATGTTGCCCCACTGCTCTGGCTGGAAAAATACAGTACTGCACTCTGCATTTTAACTGAGTCTTAGAGTTATTCATTCTGATAATGTGACTTGTGATTTAATGTTAATACCTGAGCACTGATAAATCTTTACTCTGATCATTCTGGAGCAAAACACTTGCTTGTCTGGATTATTTGATTCCTTTTTGGCTTGCAGCACATTGATTAGAAAGGGATTACGTATGGACAGTATCTCATTTTTCTTGTTTACATCAGGCATAAAACTCTATGGGGACTTTCTTCCCTATTGTAAGCTGTACAATTGCTGGTTGGACAAAGCTGCTATAGTCGGAAATTTGACTATAATGAAAGTTGTGGAAAGAAAGAGGAGGCAGGCTTTGAACAGCTCTGCTAACACAGCAGCCTGCAATTCTTTTGGATTTTAAGTTGCCAAAACTGCCTGCTAGCTTGAAAACTGGAGTGTCTCTCTGCTCCCAGGTACCTGTGGGTTTGGCAGGACAGTTTTTTAACTCATGCTGCTCCCATTGCTGCGATTTTCTGACCAAGCTCAGGTTTTGGATGAAGCATTAATAAGCTCCTCACGCTCTGTGCTTCAGCGGCGCTGAGCAGGGAAACTCAAACAACCTCACCAGCCTGTTTCACTTCCTGCCTCTCACACACCGCTGCGGCGTTTGCACGGCCTACGGAGGGTAAAAGTTTCAGTCCAGAGCAGAGCAAAACAATGAATACCACATCTTATTTTCACAAAGTTAATTTAGATAAAACCAGCATCGAATTGGGGCATGTTACAGGAAATTCTGTTCCATCTTCTTCAGCTTTCAGAAACAGATTTACTTTGCCCCAAGCTAAGCCGGCAGTGAAGAAAATACTGCTGTGATGTGAGAGGCTGACTGAGAGACTGACATTTTTCTTCATTTAGATGAAATCAAAGGGTGTTTTTTCCTTTACTTTTCACTCTTGTGGGCTATGCTTTGGATGCTTTACTGGAAGAGCTGTCAGCTGTGAACCTCACATGATACGAGTCCACCCTTCCTGTGGGGAAGTTATTCAGAGCTGTGAAAGGAAGCCAGCAATGAGGCCCGAACCCTCTGGTGACTTTTCTTGATGACTTCCATAATTAAAAGCCATTATGAACGGAAAAACTAAGTGTTTCAAAGCTGCAGACATATAAGGGCTTAATTCACACCCCACCCAATGAGGATTGATCCATCACCTCTTGGACCGGGGTGGGAAGAGGGAGTTATCTTGGAGATAAACCGGCAGCTTCCCCTCGCTCTGCCAGGACACATTTACTTACCACGATTAAACTCAGTGGTACCCTCTCCCATGCACATGGGAGGGGAGCAGGTGACCTCTCTGGCTTTCTCCCCAGTCACACAGAGATATTTTATTCTGTGGAAATGGTTGCTGCAGAGCATGATGTATTAACTGCACTACAACCCTTGTAAGAAATACAGTTCCTTCCAGCATGAGAAGCATGAGTTTTTTCCCCTTCAAGACACTTGTTTACACCACCAAATTATGCAAGACCTTCTAAGGTTTGTTTGGCACAAGATGAAGCCAGGGAAAAGGAGGATGCTGTCAGGCCACACAAAACAATTAGGGCTGAATGTTTGCTGACTCCCTGCTGGTGTTTCAAAGGTGTCTGTTCTGCTTTCTCACATGGCTCTGCCAGACCATTCTGGCAGAACTTTCTCTCTTCCAAACCCATTTTCACACCATCATAACACCACTGAACCTTTCCATGTACATAGCACTACATGCTTATAAAAGAGGTAAAACACTTCTTATTCCTCACATTTAGGTCAACAAACTCCCACATAAGGATTTCTCTCAGGAGACCTGGAGGGCAAAACTTGGGGTGAGATGTGCAAGCACCCCCACAGCATGGTCTGCAGGATGGGAGCCTGGCAAGTCAGGCAGTGATTCTATGGCACCCACCTGTCCTTGACTCGGAGGATCAGCTGGTGGAACCGGTCCACGTGCTCGAAGCTCGCCTTGTCTGTCACCGAGTAGACTATAAGGAAACCATCTCCAGTCCTCATATACTGCTCCCGCATTGCACTGAACTCCTCCTGGCCTGCAGTGTCCAGGACTAGGACAGAAGAGACAGAGGTTTTTAGTTACCATGAGGAACTGTAGCTGCTGTCACCACTGTGTGTCCTATGGCCTTTCTGCCTCTGCTGGGCTTGCGGTCCTCTCACAGGCTGTAAGATTTGATGAAATCAAGTTGGATGGACAAAGTGGTTTCTAGTTACAAAACAAAAAACAGTCCCAGAGGCCCCTCATTCCTGCGTGCCTAAGCTGGAAGTGGATGCAGGGAAAGATGACCATGTGGATTTTACTTTCCTTTTCTTGTACCAAATGCTGACCACTGAATTTGGGCAGTTGCTCCTCTGGCAAGATATGGCTCAAGGTATTTCACAGCCCTCAAACTTTTCCCTCTCCCAGCATAGAAAAATGCAACACTGGAAGATTATTAAAAGCCTGTTTAAATATCAGGGACAACTTACAAACTGCACAGTGAAGTAGAGCTGGGAGACAACCCACAGTAATAGCTACAAGCACTTTCCTTTTCTCAACACCTGGATGTTATTTCTACACAATTATGAGCTCTCAGAGCAAGACAGTACAGCTCTGGGGAATTCCCCTTAAACAGTTAGTCCCAAGTGGTGCGCTGAGGAGCTAAGGAGCTAACTAAAACAGGTGGAAAAGCTCTAAGTGCCTTGCATATCCTATACAGTGATCATGTTTCTGTGAATAAATCTATGCTCAAATCCCCTAAAACACCTCAGTTGTGACAGCAATCCAGATGCTGTTCCCCACTAGATTAACCTCCTCTAATGGAACCATAACTCACTGGTTCTCCACCGCTGTCTCGCAGGGGGTCCCATAAGCTACATCATGTAGAGCAAGCTACACCAGCCTCCTGGGCAAACACCAAATACTGATACACACCTCAGTGTTAATTCCCGTACATGGCCAGGATTTTGCTGGGAGGAAGAGGTTACAAGAGAAGTTTAGGCTATGCCAGTCAGACACGGTGTGAGCTCAAAGTGCATCAGCTCCTCATAACTAATAGTCCTAATGCATCGTTGCATCCCAGAGGCAAATGTGGGACCTTCATAGTGACTGGGAACATTTTCACATTCCAGTACACTGGGCTGGGTGGGAAAACTGTTTTGCCTCTGCTGTACAGCCACAGCATAAGCATCTGCTGCACACAGGTGATGGGGAAAGCCCAGGGCACCAGTGGATGGAGACTGTGGCAGGAGCATACTGCTGACAGAGCAGCAGGGCTTGATACAGGTTTTTCTAGTCTGAACAGGCACACAGTCTCAGCAAGATGTTCCCTGTAGGGGTAAGTACTCAGGCTTACCCCAGATTTCCAGATGGGGCCACACTAAAGACCACTTTGCTGAATCAGCACAGGGGGCCACAGACGGACACGCTGCATGTCACACTGCACCCCAGGAGCCAGCCCACACCCCCTCACTGCATGTCTGGAGGAAAGGCAGCTATACTGGAAGACCGGGAGATCTAAGGAAGGTGATGGTAAGCCTTCAGCCTCATTTGTTTGCCTGCCTTAACTGGTCCTGGATGTCTGTTTCCATGAGCCTTTAAGGTAAAAAGAGCTTCTAGGCCCTTGCAGAGACCCTGAGATTTAGGCTTGTTTGCTAAGCTTGCTGAAAAGTCATCTGTGTCTCTTCATAGCCTTTTATCCTGCTTCTCCCCTCAATCTAGGAAACAAGTGTCTCAGCTCAAAGGTATCCAGGCTATTCTTAACAACTGTACAAAAGAAAGAAGAAAAACAAAAGAGAAAAGCAACCCAAAGAGATTGCATGTGCCGGTGAATTTCTATGCCCTGGGCAGAATTGCTACCATGGAGTAAGGCCAGGACTGCGTAGCTAGGACGGAAGAGGAAATCAATCCTACTTGCCCAACCTGTATGGAGAGGCTGGGCTGCCCTCATCTGACTCCTGCACCAGCTAAATGCGATGTCAGGGCAGGGCTGAGAGCTGACAACCACCACACACACAAACCCACTCCTGTCCCCTCTCCAATACACATACCCCAATTTGTGGTGGAGCGGGATAGCTTCTCTCCAGGAGCTGGCCCTTCCTGCCCTTCCTCCCCCTGAGACAGGGCAGGTGTCCGAGCACAAGCTGTGGGCAGGAAGGTGGAGATGGATGTGCTGTATCCTGCATGGTAATTTGCTTAGAGACTTCCCCTTGCTGTGGCACATTTGCAAACCTTCCATGAAACGCACGAGGAGCATCCAGCTCTGCTCTTGCACCCATCAACCCATCCCCAGCTGCTGTCTCTCTAAAGCGCTGCATCCCCTTAGAGAGGGGGCGAGCCCTGGTGGGGCTGTGGGGATACCCAAGGGACTGCACGGGGCTCTGCTCAGTTGCTCCTACAACGCCTGGATCTTAGCCATGGCATCACACTAAACACAGGCAGAGCTGCTGTGGCAGCAGCTGCTATTTAAAGGGAATTCACTTGCAGCTTTGATAGAAAGGTGAGCAAGCCCAGGCAGCATTTAAAACGGCAATTTGAAAGTGCAAGTAAAAGACGCACAGCAGAGAAGGTTAAGGTTAATCTCAGATAGGTTATTCATGCAAAGTTAAGCATCGTGTGGGTGGCCAGAGAAGGCCCTTGTTTTAACTTTAAATGTGCCCTTCATAAAGACAACCTTCCAGTAAACAACAGAGCAGAGTGCAATCTGGATCCTTTGTAAGCAGGACAGGACCACAACAGCACTGAAAAAGGGCCCGATGTAAGCAGCTTTGCTTGTGGTGTAATCTTGTGGCATAAAAGCTTCAAGAAGACGCCTACCTGCAGAAATTGGAAAGTGCAAGGAGAAAACTTGGGAAGGTAGAACTGGGAAGGTGACTGGCTTCCCTAAGGGGTGAGGTTTAGCATGTTAGCCAGCATTCACCTTCATTTAAACTTCCCTATTCTGCAGACAGGATGCCAGAAGACACAGAAATAACCATGACTAGAGAACTGTGAGTTGGTACACTTTAAACCAGCAGTTGCCTCACTGGCAGTGTAGAAACAAGGCTGAAGCAAAACACAGTATGTTTCTCCTACTTCATTCTTCCAAGAACTGAAATCAGATTTAGAGGCTGCACAGCACATGGTCAGGGACTTCCAACAGAAAACTTGGTAAAGTTCCCACAAACTTGACCAAAGAAGAAGCAAGGAGGAGAATTAATGAAAGCACTTGGGTAAAGATGAAGGAGAGAGAAACCAAGGTCTATGTCTGATGTAGGAACAGACATCCAAAGAGGGCAAAGCCATTTAAAGCTATCATGAAGCCAGCTGGAGATTAAACTAAGAGCAATTAGGTTGTGAGAGCCCAGCAGGAAGGTCTCCTGTGTTGCAGGAAAGAGGCTGCTTAGCAAAGAGATGGCCTTTTCCACTTTCCAGTGAATGTGACCCCCAACTGCTGTGATGAACTCCTTGCTAACTGATTCCTGCCCCCTTAGAGCTCTACACACCCTTTTCCTGTGAATCCTGATGGGTTACACAAGAGTGCAGCTGCCTAGAGAGCTCTTCTGAGCAGGCACAGGAGCCCAGGAATTCACACAAATTTGTCCAAAATAGAAGCTCTTGGTGCTTCAAGGTATATTACGTGGCAATGTCTCTGCAACTGACAGTGCTCCGAGTGCCTGTCCAGAGACAAAGGAATGTAAATCTAAACCAAGGGCAGAGACATACTATGAACTCATGGCATTGCTTTTTCTGGAGCCTAGGCTGGATTCAGTTCAGATTCAATCACATCCTTCCCAGCCTTCAGGGAGCTCAGATCTAGTTGTGCAGGTGAGTTCCTCACTCTTTTGATATCTAGGCAAAATTTCCTCCTACGTCTTTATCTTTACATTGCTAGGCAGCTGGGTGTGTAAGTCACCTCAAGAGAGTTTCTCCACTGTCCATGGCATCTAAGGGGACAAAGATGAAGAGACAGGCAGATTAACCCGTTTTCTGTCCTTCAGCCTTTGGGTTTCACTGCCCTGCAGCTTTGAACCTAAGCTCAAGGGAAAACTTGAATTGACAAGTCAAGCTAAAGAGTCTCAGGCTGAAGAAAGCCACCTCCACAGTCTCTGTCGTCCTTCCATCAGCAGCAAGGTGGAAGAGGGCACCCCCATCAGCCAATGGCTTCAGCTGAGGAGCTGGTATTCTGGGCACTGTGCAGACAGAGTACTGGGGTCACTCAGCTCATATTCTGTATTCCGACACCCCCAGTCACCCTGAAGAGGTATGAGGGGCCCTTGTTGTGCACAAGGCAAGGCAGATTCTTCACTTTGTCACTCTGATGCTTCTGCTCCTTCTCAGATACAGCCGCACTGCCTCTGGCATGACAGCTTTCCTCGGCAGAAAACCCATGATGGGGAAACACTCAGGCTTTTATGAGCTCTTCTGTGCCTTAACTAAATACACAGATGTTATAACATGGAAAACCCAAGTACTTGAGTCCTTGTCCTTTCTTTAAGGAAAAAGAAGAGAGGGGCCTTTAGAAGAAAGACTTCCACATCAATAAACAGAATAAAGATGCAAGCCCTTAAAGGAGTTCTTTCTCTAACAAAGGGCAAATATTCAAAGCCTTGTGTTTTCCATGTTGCAACATCAAAATTTTCCTGGCAGGAAAAATTCCCCACAACCCAAGACAAAAACCCCTCTTTCAAGGTTGCAAAATCCTAGCAATTAAGAGAGGGGAAATACTGTACACACAAATAAAAGAATGAAAGTACAAATTTAATTTGAATTTTAAGGCTCTCAATGATGCTACTGAAAGTTTAAATAAAAACAAAAGAGAGTGAGCCACAAACCAATCCTTCTGCCTGAAAGCCTGAAGTGACCTTTGATCTCCCTCTGGCCTCCTGGCTGACTTATTCCCAAGTTTCCTGAGGAGAAAAGCAGACAAGCAGCAGCCTGCCCAGGGATGACTAGCAGCAAAACCCCTCAACAAAAAGGGATGCATAGGATACACAGGTGGGAAGGGCAGAGAGAGAGCTTGGGTGAAGGAACAGAGCTTGGTGTGACTGCACAGGGGTGCAGACCAGGGCTGTGCAGGTCTAGCCCAACACAAGAGTACCCAGGGATTGAGAGGGGTCTTGGGAAGAGGAGATATAAAAGGGAAAACTGAAGCTCAGGAGTAGGAAGACAACTTCTAGGCAGTGAAAGTTTCATCTAAATCATACCAGAGGAAGGAAAGGGAAGAGGAGGGAGACCACAGCCTCCTTTCACCCAAGACACAGGCACCATTCCTTGCTTTGCTGGTACCAATTGGCACAGCCCTCCTGACAGCCAAGAGTTCAGCTCAATTCACCAACATGCCCAAGCCATGTACTTGTGGTCTTCTCTTCATCTCCCTCTGTGTGGTTTATGAGCCAAAAGGAATTTTGAACTATTGGGTATTTTTTGCCATATTAAGGTATTCCACTTTTGGCTTCACTCCCAGATTAATAATTCCAGAGTGGCATTTTGCAGCCACACCAAAAGGAATCCTCTGGTTCTTGCTAAGTTAGCCTGAGCACAGAAAGGAGTGTACAAAATTAATCATCGCAACCTGACTGGAGCAAAAGCTAAGCAAAGCAGATTAGCCCCGGCCCCCACTTAATTCTGACCTGATGTGTCTGTACACACCTGCATGTGGATGCATTCCACTAAGCACATCACCGTGCTGATATCAGTGTGACCAGCAGGGAATAAACAGAGATAACATACGCTGAGAAAACTGGAGGCTGATCTTAAAGTTTGTTAGAGTGGCAGCAAGCAAAAAATGGGCGAGTCACCAATTGCCTGTGCATCTCTGATTTGGGTTAAGTGCCCTCTTCCACTCTACAGCACTTGTCCTCCAAATACTACTACATTGACAGTCTTCTGAAGCTGGCATAAGGTCAACAATAAAGTGTTTTCATGTAGTGCTGGACCTGACTACAACAAGCACAGGTCCCACAATCATCTTGGAGGCAGGGAACTATCACAGACTCTTCTTTGGTGAGAAAAATAGGTACAGAGACATTCCCAAACCAGAAAGCAAACATGTAAAATAGGAGTTTGAATGTAGGTTTGGCTCTAAAATCTGAAATAAAAGCCTATTTCATTTCAGCCTACTTTCAGTGAGAGATTTCAGCAAAGGAAAGAAATGCTAGTCAAACATTTCATCACACTGCCAGTTAGTGCTATTGAATAAATGTGGGTGGAGGTCTTCATGGAGGGAAGCCAAATGCTTTATGCAAGCTGGCTAGCAGAAGGGTTTTTTACAACATAATGCTGGTACAGTTACAAAATGCTCAAGATGCTTTGTACAGAACTGCTCAGGCAACAGCCTGGAAAAGGGTGGGCTGTTTTCCCTTTTTTTTTTCTTTTTTATTTTATTTTTTTTTAAATTTTTTAAAGTTGTTTTATGTCAATGTATTTGGCTTTTTTTTAATAATAACTGTTTTCATTTGAAAACTTAGAAACTTATGGATCCCCTCATGTTATATCCTCATTTGGTAGTCTCATGTTCTAAAAACTATTTTGGGGGTGGGCAGCTGCTTCTCCCCACCAAGCACTGCATGAAACATCAGCTTGTAAAGGATTTGGTCATAAAGGACAACTGGAAAGTCTAGAATTCACCATGATGCATCTTTACCCTTCCTATCATGTTTGTCCCTAATTTTATACCATGAGTGATTCATGTAACCACAACAAGAGCAGCTGTCCCAGTAGATGGTGACCTCTGAGAATAGCCTAGATCCAAATCTTATGACAGAGAGCTGTGGCAGAAGACATGTGTGATAGTCAGTCTTTATGCCCTGTGTCTACTGGGCTGACAGTAAAGGCTCATATGCTTTTCCAAGTGAGAATATTGCCTTCTTCCCAAATTCTGATTGTTCAGAATCTCAAGTGGTAGGAAAGAGAAGGAGAAGTTGCAGTTTCACTTCTCTGGCTACGAGGCATCTGTAGGCACACTAACTGTGAAAGTCAGGGATTCCCAGCATGCCACTCAAGGCCACGGCTGAATTTAGTCCAGGCCGAGCACAGCCATTGAACTCCATCTGAACAAAAGAAAGGCTTTTTCACTAAAAGAAAGGGTAAGTTTCTGCTTGTTGAAAAACAATTTCTTTCTTCACTCCCACCCAGGTCAGATTTGTGTTCTGGTTTTTTTTGTTTAAACAAAAATTCCAAATATTCAGTGAAAGATGCCTTCTCTACTTTTAAATAATTTACAAAGCCCACGCTGTTTCAGCCAATGCCAATGTTACAGCAGCTGGTACTGTTATACCAGGACACGGGGTATACCAGCGGAGGTAAAGGTTGCTCATTTTAGAGGGCTGGATTCTGGACTAAAAACAATGGATTTAATTTACAGAAGGATTGGATTTTTCTTTTATACAGCACTAGCATTTTAAAAATAAAGGTGCAGCAGTACATTATGAGATGGTTAATTGGGAGCAGGTATCGCTGATGCAGATGACAATGAGAGACACATTTCAGCACCAATTTCACAAATACTCCCTCACATCAACTATTAACATATTCAAATGAACAAGTGTTGGCAAGATTACATTGTTTGGTTGTTTGTTGATTTTGGTTTTTAATACTGAGTAAAGGCTGTTCTTGTAAGGACTTTGCAGCCATTTGTACTCACTTATATCTGATAAATCCTTAAAAGTGTGACTAAGATCTCAAGTTTCCAGACCAAGCCAACAGTCTTCACAGCAAATCCCACCAGCATCCACATTCCACCACTCATGACATTCTCCCAGCTTTCTGTTCCCACACAGCAACGACACATATGCAGAGACACCTAAGATCTTGAGCACCTTCTTGACAAGAGGGTGGAGGTAGGAACTTGGCACAAGGGAGGCTAAATTTAGTTCAGTTGTGTTAATGGCCACATCCATGCACTTTGGTAATTAAGGCACAAAATCATGGCTAGGCTTCACGAATGAAGATTTGGGAAGGCACAAAATATTTCCTTGCTTTTATGTACTACCTAATTCTTGTATAAAGCAAAACACAACTTACAACATTTAACAGAGAAATTCCCCTTATAGCTGTGTTTAGTCTGACTCATGCAGCACAAACAAACAAGTTGCAGCTTTAGGTAATACAGGGCTTTCCCCTCACCTGCTAATCAAGAAACTTTGGTTTTGGGTTTTTTAAGAGTGTGGCAGGTTTTTTTGTTCCAGTTTGTTTGTTAGTGTTTTGTGTTTCATTGTTGTTTGTTTGGTTAGAAAAAACAAACAAAAAGGCAGTTTTTCTTCAAAGAACTGAAAACTCTTGCTTACAACAGATCTCTAGGCTGGTTCCCTACCAGTATTTAAATGAAACAGGTAATTAGATATGAAAACATCACACCTGAATGATGGGAGTTAAGAGGTGTAACAATTCTTCACTGTCAGTGGACAATAGTTTTGATTAAATGTTCTTTCTGGTTATAACCCTCACTCAGTTACCCACTCACTGTTATTTCCCAGGGGATGAGCTCAATCACAATGAAGTATCATTAGCAATAGCCACCTGGCAGTGTTATAATTCACTCTTTGTAGAAACCTGCTCTAAATGTCAATGATTATCTGTAGGTTTTTACAGTCCTGCAAGAAACATTTCTGTGCAGAACTGGAAACAACGCAACTGGAAGCAGAAGCTTTGCTGGAGACCAGCTGCAGACCATGCACCACAGCTCACAGGCCAGCCTGTGCTCAAATTCCTGCCAGCCCACAGCAGAGCAGGAGGGACACAAGGACACAACATGCTGTGGGAAGTCTATTTGCACTTATGCTCAGCTAGAAGGAAAAGTGGATCACAAGAGTAGCTTGCTTACCATCAAGAATTGCCCATTGCCCATCTATTTCTGTGTGCTTCAGGTAGGAGTCTTCAATAGTTGGGTCATAGTCGGGCACGAAAATCTTCTGGAAAAACTGAATGGTGAGAGCGCTCTTCCCCACACCACCATCTCCAACAACCACCAGCTTGTATGTGGGGAGGTTTTCGCTGGGAACAGCACTTGTAGCCATGCTTCCAGTGTGCTAAACCTGCTGGAGAAAGAGATCATCTCCAATCACTTGTCAGCAATGAAAACAGGGCAATATGCATAAGGCAGCTTTTACCTGCTGCCTAAGAAGTGAGAATGAAGGCAGCCCTGACATCCAAAATTGTTTTAGACAGGAGCTGCTGCACTGACCCTTCCCAAGAGCTCTACCCCAACTCAAACCCAGCACTTAGAAGTGCAGACAACTCCACTGCTGTGTCTTGTTTACTCCTGACTTGTATACAAGGATTGCTAATTGCCACCAAATGCACATGCAAAACTTATGATTGAAAACTTACTGAATACCTTTCCTATAGGGGCTGGATCCACACAACCATGACAAAAATCACCCTGGCTGAGTGCAGCTGTCAATCTCCAGACAGTTTCCCATTGCCAGTGACCAAATCTCATCGGTAAGACAGAGCTGTGCTATTCTTCACTGCTTAACCCAAGGTACAGGAAACATTAGATACTGGGGCCAGATCTGCAGGCAGAACTGGTGGTGATGGATGAAACCAGAGTTAAAGGTCTCATCCTGGCTCCACCAGCAGACAAAAATGCACTCAGCTATTTTCTTCCCCCTCATTTTCAAGTTTGAGAAATAAAAATGAGAAGGCAGCAGGCCAGGAATGATAGGTGGTTTTTGGTTTGCCCTTTTTTTTAAAAAAAAAAAAAACCCTCCACCCTGCCATGGCAGGAAAGCTGGTGTCTGTGGCTGTGAAGCAGGCAGGAAAGCAGCCTCCCTGCAGCATGGTCACACTGCTCCTCCCACCTCAGAACTGACTCAAAAGAAAGAAGAAAAAAATTCACTGGCTGTAACTGGGCAATGGCACATGTATGTGGAGAAAGGAGAAGAGGCAGCCATTGCTGAACAGCCCTTTCCAACACTCAGCAGCAGTGACTGCTCATTTAAGCAGAAGCCAGGCAGGAGGTTCTGTACACATGCTGTGGAGGGCAGTGCCCTCCACCCACCCGTGGGAAGCAGTGATCACTCAAATCACAAAGGAAATGGGTGGCCATCTCCCAGATCTGAATGACCACTGCATTTTCTGGGAGGTCTTTCACACAGTTAAAAAGAAAATAATAATAATAAAAAAATCCATTGTAATGGTAAGGCTCAAGAGATGGTAGCTGATTTCCTTGGTACTGGTTTTCCCGAAAAAAGCTATTCAGAGCAGGAGCAGCTGTGGTGACAATTTCTGCAGCCACCTGCTCCCATCCATTCTGTTTTTGCTGGTCCCCTTTGGGCTGCAGGTGCTGGCTGCGGTCAGCACTGAGGGAGGATGAGGACTGCTCAGAGGGAACCTCCATACTGTTGGCTGCCAATCTATATCCCCACCACCCCACACAAGCTTTTGGAGGCCTTCCCAATAACTCTAGGGTTTTCTTGTTCATTAGGAAGACAACTTTAACATTTCCATTCTCAGAAACCACCAAGCAAGGCTGGTGTGCTCAGTGCCACAGCTGTGCCAGGTGTTGTACAGAAGCTGAGACTGCCGCACACACAGTGCAAGTTGAATGCTGACTAATGTGATTTTTTCAACCTATAGTATAAACTGGCCCCCATTCTTCCCAAAATTCTTTCATTTTCTCTATTTTCCAAACAGAACACTTTGACTCTTCACTTCTGAAGAAGCCCCAAAGCCAACTTGGACTACTTTTCAAACAGACAAGAACATAATCCCCTAATCCAAGTTTAGTTTCTGGTTTCTCTAGTCCCTTTCTCCAAACTCATTATTTGAGTTTAATCCAAAATATTGAACCATAAAAGGCACTTTTGAGCTGGCAAGCTTGGGGGTCCCATGCTCTTTCTGTACACTGGAAACCCCATACCTTGAGAGAGGGCTTAGTTTCTCCTCTAAAAAGAAAAGCCCATAAGGAAGAGACAGAGGATGAGATTGCTGAGCCTGAGAACTGCAAAGGCCTCTTGTCCTAGTTGAGACAAGCCAACATTTTCAGAGCAAGAAGAAGCATGATCAAGTCTGCTTGTTTCTAAACTACCTTTGGGGCAACAGCTGCTGGATGGGGAGAAGAAGGCCAAGTACCAGCTGAGGTTTCAAACTGAGTCTTACTGCAGTTCCTCACTACAGTCCCAAAGAAAAGTTTCTTACTCCTATTTTTGAGTAAGAAACTTTCTCATATTTACAAGACCACACATCAATACGCAGCAGGCTTGGCTGCAGAAAAACCTATGAATTTCAACTAAATGTCTCATTTTTGTTGGAGGACCAACTTTTATTTCTGCATAATCCTGCTTGGGTCAGATGATTCTCACAGGCTCTTTGGGACACAGACCCTGGCTAAAACTCTGTCCCCCCCTTCCAAAACATTTGATGACAATTTTTTGCTTTGCCCATGGCCAAGGTTTCACCCCATCCTCCTCTGCCCAGGCAGTATGAAAGACTGATTGTTACTGACATGGTGGGGACAGTCTGGGGATGTGAAAAACATACTTCGTTTGTACATGATTTTTGACCTCATGACAAAACCACAAGCTGTTGCTCAGCAGACAAGCATTACATTTTCATCGACGTTTTGTACCAGCCCCTTTAAACCGCTCCTAAGAAGCCTTAAGCTTTATCTTGCATGAAATGCTCCCCAAAGTCCTGGGATAATGTTTAGCCCATTGTACAAACTGTGTCTCTGCCCCCACACTTATTGGTTGAATCGGGGCACTTGCTTCCCATCATTTCCAGAAGTTTGGTCATACTGTGTGTCTCAGCTACCAGACTGAGTATTATGCAGCCTGGGGAGAACAGCAAGAACTGAACTAAAAAAAAAAAAAATTAAACAAAAAAGTCAAGAATTGCAGTCTGATTTGTTGAGCACAACCCTCTATTTTAGGTGATGCTAGCATGAATAGATGAAAACTTCCATTGAGCGTCAAAAGGTAGCAAGTCTAGATGTTTCTGCAGGATTGCTTCTACTAGTCATGGAAACCCTCCTCTTTCTATGGAGATAGCAAGTCCCATGCTCCCATCATGGACTTACATAACGAAAACCCTCCGAAAGCCAAGTACTTCAGTCCCTCTACCCCTCCACCTGCCCTGATAAGCAAGGCAAGAAGACAACTCATGCCTTGACAAGATTATCATCTTAACCAGCCAATGAATCAAACCTTTAAAACAACATGTATCACCTCCTGGAAAACACTAAGCACTCCCAAAGGTGCACAGAGCTTCTGTGCCAGCTGGTTATGTCGCTACAGGCAACTGCACAAGACTTGGGCTGATTTTCACGTGTTTTTGGCAAAAGTACTGACACAGTCCTCCTCAGATGGGAGCAAGAATAAGCGTGTTTGCTGTAGATCTGACTGGGAAAAACGAAACACAAATGTTTTTATCTATTGTCTGAACACAAAGCAGCATGTGGTAATACGCTAATAAGCTCTGATGATAATCATCTTACAATTTATATAGTTGTTTATTTTGAAGAAGCCAAGAGAAGGATCCATACCCTACGCTGACAAATGCCATCAGGGCTCTGGGTAAGTCACTGGAAGGAGGATGATTTATACAACCATCTTCATATGCACTGGCAAGATCAGTGTCCTGACAGCACAAGCCCATAATTCTGAGACAGTTGGAAATGTGGCTACTTCTGGGGTAGATGGCAAGGAAAAATGAGAAACATTGATCCAAGAGTATCACTGAGGCTGAGCCTCCTCAGCAAAAATGATATTTTTATGGAGACAGAATAAACTGCATAAAACCCCATTTACCTGTCTGGGCATGGGGATGGAGTGGAAGGGCTGAGCTATCCCCTTGGAGCAGCCAAGTAACATAAAACCCCCAAATTCAGCTTAGTTTGTGACTGGACCACCAAGCCCAAACAGGTACCCACAAAATATACGCAGTATATCTAATCCCCATCCTCCTTGCAAAACTTGCCCTGAATGCAAGCGGGTCAGATCTCAGCTTCTGTAAATCACTGCAATTTCTGTTCATCGGAGCAGAGTTGTGGCCACATATGACAATAATAAAATGGACCCCAGTTAGCTGATATTCTGTGTGTTGGCACCCCTCTCCCTGGTTCCAGCTGTGCTGTCCTGGAGGAAGAACTCCCAGGGCAAAGCCATTACAGAAGGTCAACAAGCTCAGAACCAAGGCCTGGATTTGCAGAGGAGGTTAGTGCAATTAAAGACACTGGCTCCCTGACTGAGAAGCCCAGTACGACAGTAATTTACGGTCTCCATGGCAACATGCAACACAAATTGCTTAATTCTGTTATGAAACCTCCAGAAAAAGCTACAGCAGGGTCTGTGTGGGAACTACCAGCTCCCTCCTCCTCTGCTGCAGCTCTCCAAAGCAGACAACTTCAGGGAGCCCACGTCCACTTCAGCAATAGGCTGAGATTTAGCACATACTAATACGTAAGTATGTATGCTGACCAGTTCCATCAGCCCATGGCCAAGGGAATTTTCCTATCATCAGCTTGCTTTGGTTCATGGCTCTTCACACATGCCCTGCCAGAGCTGTGCATACCTGAGGACACCAACCTCACCTGAGGCTGAGGAAGACTATCAGCCACCTACAGTTGCAATTAATAACTCTTCCTCTAGCCACAGCTCACTCGATTACACCCTTTTACCCCGGCACTTTGTAAGCATTAGCAGCTCCATGCAATGCCTCCAGGGCTGAAACTCTGCATGATCTGAACACTTCCCTCTCTGTTCCTCTTGCAGACTGCTGGCTACAGCCACACAACCACCATGACACACCCAGAGACGCTCGCCAGGTACCAAAATAGTTCAGCCCAATGTGTTGTAGGCAATCCCTTGGGCTGGGAGCTACTGAGAATCCTTGAAACCCAGGACATGCCCTTTTAGAAGGCAGCTGCCTCCCTTGAGTCATGCTGATCAGGACTGAATGAACTTCAGGAATTTCTCCCTCAAGTAGGCATTGACCGTGTCCCAAGCCTTCAAGATCCAAAGGACTTGTAGGTGTACCACTGACAATTATTATTAAATAAAGATGATTAACTCTTAGCCAGGTTTCCTCCAGT